CCTCTGATCCCGGCGTACCTGGGAACAAAGCCTCTGGACCTGAGGGTGAGACGAGGTGTGCGCCTGGGGGCCCCTGTGCTGAGGGAAGGGCTCTGGAAGCCTTTCCCAACCCTCATGAGAGAAAGCTCTCCAGAGCTCCCCAAAGACCCAAGGCCTCCTGGCAGAGCCTTACCTAGAGACAGTATGGATGGTCTGATGACAGGAAGAGCTGGGAGGGCCACCCCTTACTTTTACCAGCTTTTACCAGCCTAAAACTCCATCATTTATGAGCCACCACTCCTGAGTTAAACATCGCCCCCTCCCTAAATCCTCTTAAAAGGCAAAGCGTGTTCTCTGTAGGGGCCCACAAAGGAATTCTCTAAATGACCAGAAAAGACAGAGGGATGGGGCAGCTAGAGGTCAGGCTGGGCAGAGGGGCCAGGAGGAAGGGTGGAAGCAAGGGGGATGGTGGGGGAGGGACTGGGGAGAGGAAGCTCCAGACTTCTCCACTTGATCCTGGGAGGCCAAGTGTGACCTGGGGGTATACCCTCTCCGCCCTCCCCAGAGTGGAAGGGTCAGGGCTGAGAGGAGGTTCTGGCAGCCCCTCAGCTGGCCCTGCTTCTGGTGCCGGGAGAATGTTGTCAGCTGCAGTGGGTTGACCCAAGTTGAAGCAAGAGCCCCACAGGCTCCTAGCAGAGGTGAGACAGGATCAGAGCCAGCTGGGTCAGCTGGGTTGAGCCTGGGGAGGGTCCAGTCTTGCCTGAGACCCTGTCCTCTGCGTAAGGCCTACTCCACTGTCGTTCTGCTCCAAAATAGAAATGTCCCTTGTATAATGAAACACAACAAAACTCCCCTAGATGACTGCCTGAAATTCCACCATTAGTCATATATTATTTTGGGTTAAGCATTGCCCCTCTGTGGTAGGCTAAAGAATGGTCCCCCAAAGATGTTCATGTCCTTATGTTACCTTACATGGTAAAAGGGACTTTGCAGATGTGACTAAGTTAAAGATTTTGCAATGGGAGATTATCCTGGATTAGCGTGGATTATCCAGGTGGGCCCAACGCAATTCCATCAGAGTCCGGAGGCGTCCTTCAACCTCCTGGCACAGAGCCTCTGAGGGAGAGAACACAGTGGGGACACAGAAGAGGAGACAGAACACAAGGGGACAGAATAGAGAGAAAGAATCAAGGCAGGATTTGCTCCATTCTGCATTCTTGGGCCAGGCCTTGGTTCCCCACCTGGCACCCAGGATCTGCCATGCTCCTCACCTTCCCTCCAAGGGTCATCTAATCTAGATCCTGGCTTCAGGGAGCCGAGTGTGTCATCTGCTGCTTTTTCAAGGAGCCACCAATGAAAGCACCTGACTCTTAGTATTAGCTATAAAGATTGTCATTCTCCTAGGTGGTATTCCCAGAATCCTCTGCTCCAGCCACCTTCTTAAACTTCTAACCAGAGATGGGGAGACATTCTCCCAGGTTTTCTGAGTTTGACTGTAAATGCTGGACACTTGTTAAGCATAACAATGAGGAGCATGATCAGAGTAAAGGTGGTAGTGATTATAGAACAAGACAGGGTATTAAATATGTGTAAATAAGTAGCTACTAGATACCATGCCACAAGCCTTTCAGTTTGCAGGCCAGCATTTAATCCACTGAGCCCCACCAGGTGGGGCAAGCACTACCCTGTTTAATCATCCCAGTTAGGAAGTTTCAATATCCATATTTCATGGATAAGGAACTGAGGCACAGAGAGGTCATGTGACTTTCAGAAGGTCCCACAGCGAGTTCAGGATAGGGCTGTAGTTTCAGCCCAGGTCAGGCTTCAGAGTCCATACATTTAACTACCACACTATTCTATCTCCTAAAAACATTTTAAACTAACAATTATGTCTTCTTTTAAAGATTTTACTTATTTATTTTTAGAGAGAGGGGAAGGGAGAGAGGAAGAGAGGGAGAGAAACATGGATGTGAGAGAGAAACATGGATTGGTTGCCTCTTGCACACCCTCCACCGAGAACCTTGCCCTGCCCCGGAATCCAACCAGTGACCGTTCAGTTCTCAGAAGGAGGCCCAACCCACTGAGCCACACCAGTTGGGGCCTAACAATAATGCCTTGATGTCTCATTTTTTAATCAAACAATAGTTTTCTAGGGATGGGGAGGTTTGGGGCAGGTGAAAGAAGGATGAAACGAGTGGCATTGGGGAAGGACATGTGATGTGCGAGGGGCCTGCCAACTGGCCCCCGCTGATCAAGGGGACTTAATAAAGTGGCAGACCAAGGCCAGATTACCTTAGTCAAAACATAAATAGCTTTGGCTTTAACATTCCATCTTAGAAATTGAACTTAATTTTAAGGTCTTTTCCAAACACACTTTTATTTTTTATCAACTTTAGGACATTTTGGTGATCTTCTCAAAATAGTTTTTTATTGCTGCAAGTTATTCAAATCAAGTTTTAAGGCCAAAGAATATTTTTAATGTGATTTCAAGTTGGCAGGCATCAAGGCTTAGTGGAAGGCACCCAGAGTTTGGATGGGCCTCGGGAGACCTGGGTTCTAGTCCCAAGCTTGCTGTACGGGCTTGTGTGGGCAGGCAGAAATCCTCACTACATGCTCAAACAAGGTGTCTGGGTTGAAGCCATGAGAAATGTGGACGACTTTATTTGTTTCTATTAAAGGCTTCAGCTCCGGATCCAGCCCTGTTTACTGGGTGGAGGGGGTGAGAAGGTTTTGTTCTGTGGAAATTGCTGCAGGCCCTTGCGCAGGTCCAGCTGGGAAAGGCAGGGACACCGGGTCTTGGCTTCTGATCTCCGCTTGCCTGAGTCACAGGCAGCTCCAGAAACTGGTTCCCTCAATCCCTGGGGCCTCCAGAGGGTAGGCCTGGGTGACTGAAGACAACTCCACTTCCATCTGGCCTATTCCCCAGATGAAGACAGAATGACACAGGACCACAGATGATCAGAGCAGAAGGGAGCCCAGATTGGCTGGCCCTGAGGGTCACACACAGCAGCCATGGGCCCATTATTGTGAATAAGCATCCTGAGAGACACTGACATGAAAATAGACACATAGATCAATGGCAGAGAATAGAGAGCTCAGAAATCAACCCACACTTATATAGCCAATTAATTTATGACAAAGGAGCCAAGAATATATGATGGCAAAGGACAGTCTCTTCAAAAATAGTGTTGAGAAAACTGGACAGCCACAAGCAAAAGAATGAAACTAGAGTACTATCATATACCATACACCATACACAAAAATTAAAATTAACTCAAAAATGTATTAAAGATGTAAATGTAAGGCCTGAAACCATAAAATTTCTAGAGGAAAACATAGGTAGTAAGATCCTTGATATAGGTCTTGACACTATTTTGCATGACACCCAAAATAAAAGCAACAAAAGCAAAAATAAACAAATGGGACTACATCAAACTGAAAAGCTTCTGCATAGAAAAGGAGACGATCAACAAAATGAAAGACAGCCTAATGAGTGGGAGAAAGTATTTGCAAATCATATATCTGATGAAGGCTTAACATTCAAAATATATAAAGAACTCAACTCAATAGCAAAAAAAAATCTTATTAAAAAATAGGCAGAAGATCTATATAGACGTTTGTCCAAAGAAGATATACAGATGCCCAAAAGATACATGAAAAGATGTTCAACATCATTAATCATGAGGAAAATACAAATCAAAACCACAATGCACTATCACCTCACATCTGTTAGAATGGCTATGGTCAAAAAGATAAGTAGTAAGTGTTGGCAAACATGTGGAGAAAAGGGAACTCTTGTGCACTGTTGGTGGGAACGTACATTGGTGAAGCCACTATGGAAAATAGTATGGAGGTTTCTCAAAAAATTAAAAATAGAAAAACCATATGATCCAGCAATCTCAAATCTGGGTATTTATCCAGAGAAATAAAAACACAAACTCAAAAAGATATGTACACCCCCATATTCATTGCAGTATTATTTACAATAGCCAAGTTATAGAAATAACCTATGTGTCTATCAATAGATCAGTAGATGAATAGATAAAGCTGGCGTGGCTCAGTTTGTTGGGTGTCGTCCCAGAAACCAAAAGATCTGGGTTCGATTTCCAGTCAGGACATATGCCTAGGTTGTAGGTTTGGTCCCCATTTATGAAAGGCAACCAGTCAATATTTCTCTCATATCGATGTTTCTCTCCCTCTTCCTCCCTCACTTACCCTCTCTCTAAAATCAATAAGTCCTCGGGTGAGGAATAAATAACTAAATAAATAAATAAGAAATTGTGATTTATATATATATATATATAACTGTTATTTAGCTATAAAAAAACAACAAAATCTTGCCATTTGTAACAACATGGATGGATCTCAAGGGCATTATGCTAAATGAAATGTCAGTCAGAAAAAGATAAATACTGTATGATCTCATATGTGGAATATAAAAGTAAAAAACCAAACTCATAGATACAGATAACAGATGAGCAGTTGCCAGACAGAGGTGGGGCTAGGAGGTGGCAGGGGGTGGGAGAAATGGGTGAAGGGAATCAACAATGACAAATTGCAACATTTTTTAAAAATATTTTTTTTTAAAGTATCCCCAGAGAGCTTCTTATAAACACAAAACAGATCCCTAGGGGCTACCAAGTTGAACTTTCTGAGTCAGATTGTCCAGCAGTGGGACCTGTGACTCTACAACAAACTCCCCAGGGGATCCTTATGAATAGCAGCCAGGTCCATTCTCTCTACTTTTTCTGGGGAAACGGAGCCCATCATCAGCAGAACCAAAGTAAGGAACTAGATCTTTGGACTTACAGTTGGACGTTCTTTCCACAACAAGACCAGGAGCCCACAGGACCCAAAAGAACTGCCCATCATTTCTTTTTTTGTTTTAATTTTCTTAAAATCAACGTTACTAATGCGCACAGTTTAAAGAGTCAAATACAGGTAGTTTACAAGGCTTGTACGAGAAAACGCAGCTCGTTGTCCACGCCCTCCCAGCTGTCCCTCCCCGCAGGCAACCACTTTCGACTCTTTTAGCTGACTTTTTGGTATTGAAAGAGACCAGAATGTTACCCCAAAATATGCCTCTCTGACATGAAAATTATTTTTAGCTGAAGGCAGTCAAGAGGCAGCAAATGCAGGAAAAGTTCTCCCTGTTCTTCTCCCTCTTCTGTCTAAAGGCAGAATATAAAGTCTCCTTCTCTTGAGATAGAAATTTATCCTCCCAGAGATGTGCCAGAGGAATCTGCAAACAAAACTTACTCCTTTAGTTCCCTCCCATATATTTACTTCCCAACAGCTTGTCTTGGAAGCTTAAAGCTGATTTCCTTTGTCCTGCATCTCTCTACAAGTTTGTTCTGTTGTTGCTACATAAGCCAGAGTTCTAAACTGATGCTTTGAGTTACTTTTCATTGGGATTTCTCCCACATGATATGTGCTGCATGTATCAATAAGCAGTTTTTCTCTTGCTAATTGGTCTAGCTGACAACCTAAGATGCCAAGTTTTGCCTCCCCTATAGGATTTGCTACTATCCTTGGCATTGTTTGTATTTTTATAATGAATATGCATTACTTTGCTATTCTTATGTGGTCTATAGTTAGAATGGCTTTCTGGCTTTAGCACAGGTATGGCATGCCCAGGCATTGCAGAGTGCCCCAGCGGTCACTGGGCACAGGCCACCAGCTCCTCCAGCGCTTGCTCACGGTGGTTGCCATGGACCAGTAGCACCTCCTTGATCCGGTCCTGCTGGAAGCCCATGTTGCTGAACTGTTCCCAGAGGCGCAAGAACTCCCCGGCCTGAGGAAGGGGAGGCAGAGAGGCTGCTGAGGCTTGGTCTCCACCCTGCAAAGCACCCTCTCTGGTGTCCTCTGTATCTACTCCCAGAGAGCTGTGGCCTCCGCAGCCAGGTAAACCTGATCCTGGGCAACGCCTGCGTTTCCCCTGCACCTCTGAAGTGACATGGGCTTGGACCTCTCTTCTGTGCCAAGGAAGGGGGCCCCAGCCTGGCCAATGGGTTGGTCCTGGTTTTACTCCCTAATCCCAGCTCACTCCTGACTGTCTGTGCATGGGCGCTGGGGCAGGAAGAGGAAGAAGATCAAATACTGGTGCCCAGAGGATGCACAGCCTGGGGTCTCTGCCCAGGCCCCAAACTCTGCCAGTGTTTCCCATGGTACAGTCTCTACTTTTCTTCCTCCTCTTGCCCCAGTGCGTTAAACTCTGCCGCTTCTCCTCCCTCCCTCCCCTTCTGTATTTCTTTCTCACTCCGTCCCTCCCTCGGTCTCTGGGAAGGGCTGGTCGGGAGCCAGGACCAGCTGCTGAGTGTGGGCAGGTCATAGTCATTGATACTCAGAATGCCTCCTGGGCCACAGCTCCCTGTACTCTGGATTCCAGGTAGGCAGCAAACTCCCTGAGCAGAAAGTATCTTTTAAGTATCTGTGTGCTGCCTGCGGCTCCTACCTATGTATCTAACAAAGAACTCCCCTATCCTTTCCCTCCCCTGGGGCCCAGCAGGGGGCCCGGCTGACCTGGCTCTCAGAGAACTGGAACATCTCCATGGCCTCCTCCACCAGGCCCTCCTCATAGCCCTGCCGCAGCAGCCGGTCACAGGCGCTCAGGTAGCTGAGAAACTGGGGCAGAAAAGGGCAAAGAGGGAGGGGCGCCGAGAGGAGGGGCAGTGGATGGAATGGAGGAATCACCCCGAGGACCTCGTGAAGGCTTGAACTCAGACCAGCTGTCTAGACAACCCACCACATATGACATGGTGCCAGAAACCCCATGAGCCAATCAGAGAGAGACAGAGGACTCCTCTAGCCCAAACTGAGGGCTGGAATCCAGGGAAAGGACTGCCAGGGTGAGCTAAGGTGTTCCCGGGACCTAAGTGGGGAGTGAGACGGGCCTGCGGCACAGGTGTGTCACCCCAGCCCCCGCCCCCAGCAGGCTCACCCTCCCTGGGGAACACCGACCTGTGTGTTGGTGCCATCCACACCCGGGTGTCCCCACCCCACCCCTAGACACAAACTTCTCTGCCACCTAGGACTTCTTAAGCGTCCCCTACACAGCAGTCCTGCTTCAGTGCTGGAAAGGGGACGGGGTGGAGGAGGATCTCACAGGGCTGAACGCAGGTTCAGGTCACTTCCTGCTTAGTCATCAGGGGCTGCTTTTGCCCTCGGGATGAAGTGCTGTCTCCCAACCAGGGCTCAGAGGCCTGCCTGCTCCTGCCCCTGTCAGCCGCCTTGGCTCTTCCCCCAGCCCCTCCAGGTCTCTGCATACCCAGCCCCCTCAGCAAGGCCAGCCTCACTCCTCTCTCCCAGGGACCATCTCTGCCCCATTGCCAAGCTGCCCCACGTTTGGCGCTCCCACAGTACATACAACTTTGTAACCGCTCTACTATGTTCCTCATCTTTCTCATCCACTGACTTTGCTCCATGAGGGAAGGGTTGTGTCAGTCTTGTTCACCATTGCTTCCCAGGACCCAGGATGGCAGGCAGAAGGGGCTCAATAAATACATGCTGTGTTTATAAAGTGAACTATGAACTACCTTCAAGGAGCTCGCAGCTCAGTGAGGGAGATAAACCAGATACAGGAAATCATGAGGGCCAGGCAAATCAAAGCAGGATTTATAGGGACTTGGTGCCAAATGCAGGCACCAGACCATAAAAATTATGGGTATAAGGAGAGAGGAAACAGGATGGGTTTCTGCAGACCTTCTGAGCTGGGCAGAAAGCATGGATAATATAGACTAATGGTTTTAGCTTCTGAACTGTCCAAGCACCTGCGCCAAGACACCTAGGCCTTGACCTGAGCACATGTGGAAAATCACCCAGCCGAGCCTTCCTTGCACACTTCAGGAAATTGAGGTCCATGCAATGCGGGCAGCTTGCCCAGGGCTCCAGGACTAGAGCCTAGATCACCTGACCTCTCACCAGCCAGCTTGAAAGTAGACAGGAGCCTTGACTGGTGTGGCTCAGTGGACTGAGTGCTGGCCTGCAAACCAAAGGGTTGCTGGTTCGATTTCCAGTCAGGACACATGCCAGGGTTGTGGGCCAGGTGCCCAGTAGGGGGGCGTATGAGAGACAACCACACATTGATGTTTCTCTCCCTCTCTTTCTCCCTCCCTTCCTTTCTCTCTTTCTAAAAAAAAAAGAAAGAAGGAAAGAAAGAAAGAAGACAGCGTTTCTGAATGTGAAAATAGGAAAATAGGAGCGGGGGCAAGGGCAGATGGGAAATGCTCCCTTCACCTCTTAGCTCATCCGCAGCAATGTTTCTTGGCCTTGGGGCTTATTACAGCTACCTGGGAGCTTTAAAACTACCCTAAACCCCTGATGTGTGCCACCAGAGTCTCTGATATAACTGGTCTTCGGGTGCAACCTGGATACTAGGATTGTTAGAGCTCTCGCAGTGATTCTAATGTACAGCCAAGGTTGAGAACCACTTACTCAAGGGACAGCTGACCTCATTCCGTACCACAGGACCCCATGCCAGGGTGCATATAAGAACCCTCTACAAATCTTTTAAAATGATAGGCCCTTGGGTGCGCTCCAGATCCACTGACTGGGACCCTCCTGGGTAGGTCCTGAAAAACCTGATTTGTAAAGGTTCTGCTGCTTGGTCACTTTTGGGGCCTACGAGACTGTAAAAGCCACAAGACCTGCCGCAGACCCCAGAATGGGGTCCCCAGAAGTCATTGATTATAAGCACATATTCTCCTCCCTCCATCCTGTGAACAGAGAGAGGCTCAAAGAGAGGCACTCATGTGCCTGGAGCCCCACAGCAAGTCTGGGCCTAGCTTATGGGCCTGACATGGGCCACCCACACCTGTCCTGCATTTGATCCTTGTGAAAGGAAGGAAGGAGTGATAGACGAGGCTTATTTTTTGCATCTTCTCCGTTCTCCCTGGCTCTTCTAAGTGAAGACCACCTGATGCCCTCCCTTGGGGACTGTCTCTGGCCATAAAGGATTTACTGTAGGATATATCTTTCAAGGGGAGAAGAAAACTGAACCCAAAGGAGTTGTTTAGTTCATGGTGGAACTTTACAGACTAGAGGGAAATATGAACTTGGTGGGGGAAGATAGATGAAGTCATCCAATGGACCTTCAGGCCCACCCCTCAGGGCCTAGCCCCTGTCTGCCCACCAGGGAAGAGGGCCACCCAGAGATCTGGCGGGCCAGGCAGGTGGTCAGTATATGTCTGGAAACACAATGTTCCTGATGCAGCAGAGTTCTCCCAGCCCACCCACAGGGAGGCCAGTGTCTGTGCTGGCTCCTACTCATCCTCAGATCTCCACAGCGGTGGCCTGAGACCTCAGCCTTGTCACAGGACCTAGAGACTGGGCGGCGGGGGGAGGGGGGGGAACATGCCAGAGCCGCCTCCGTGGACCTGGTGCCTCACAGTCCTCTGGCTAGCTTCTTGACGATGGTCCTGGCTTTCACAGCAGCTAAAGAGAGGGGCAACTTGAGATCCACTCTTAAATCTTAGATCAGTGTGGGGTGCTGCCCTGGAAGGTTCTCACACAGAGAATGAGAGAAGAGCACTGTGCAACAAAGATTCAGAGTTAAACCAGCCTCAGTTTCTTCATCTGCAAAGTGGGGACAATAATAGCAACCATGCAGAATTGAGAAGACCTAACTGTATACTCTCAGACTGAGGAACTGGCACAAAGAAGGTGTTTACAAAATATTAACACTACTAATGACTGGTTGATGCAGGGATATAAAGATCTGGCCATCTCAGTCCCACTTAGGATGACTCTGAAGAGCCATATGTGCTCCAGAGCTGTAGGCGTGGCTGACCCTGTTGTGGGGTCTACAAAGCACAATGTCTCCATCTACCCACTTCCACTTCTGTCCACTCCCTTCACCAGGAGTTGATCCTAACAGCCTCCTTAATAACTACCCTGCATACCAAACTCCAACCGAGTCTGCTTTCTTGGGAATCCAACATACAGCAGTGGTTTCTATGTACCCTGGTTTCCCCCATACCTCCTAGCTACATCAAAATACCCAGGGAGCACCCAATGAATACTGTTGACTAGATGGATGGATGGGTAGATGAAAAGAGAGATGGATATGGGAGAGCTGCACCATCCAATATAGTATCCAGTAGCCACATATGACTATTTTATTTTTATTTTAATTTTTAAAAAAGATTTTATTTATTTATTTTTAGAGAGGGGAAGAGTGGGAGAAAGAGAGGGAGAGAAACATCAATGTGTGGTTGCATTTCGCATGCCCCCTGCTGGGGACCTGGCCTGCAACCCAGGCATATGCCCTACACTGGGAATCGAACTGACAACCCTTTGGTTCAGAGGCTGGTGCTCAGTTCACTGAGCCACAGCAGCTAGGGCCACATGTGACTACTTTAATTAATCACAATTAAATAAAATTCTCCGTCACACTAGCCATATTTCAAGTAACCACATATGGCTAGTGGATACTGTATTGGACAACAGATATAAAATATCTCCCTCATTGCAGAAAGTTCTATGGGGCAGCTCTAGAGAGCTTCTTGGCTGCCCAAAGCTCCAGCCCCCTGTATCTGGGGCAGAGATCAGGAGAGGCGTAGACTATCAAGACTCCCCGAGTGGGCAATGGGGATGTCTATGGAGATGGTAGCATTAGGATCTAGAAACTTGCTCACAACCCCCAACAATTAATGTCAGGCTGAGATTCTGCCTCTAAAGAGAAGGAAACAAACTTCTTCAAGTTAAAGATAAAACCATGTGGCTTCCCACCGGGTTCCAGCTCCACAGCCCCCCAGCTCTGGACGGTCACTCACCTGGCTCAGGCTCTGCCGCCCCGTCTTCTGCAGAGCCACAATGGCCCTGTGCAGGGGATACCCCAGGGCGACCACTGGCCCAATGAGGTCTTGCTCCTCCTGGCTAAGGGCAGACAGCAGGTCAGCAGAATCAGGATGTGATCTGTGGGCCATGAGAGGCTCGGGCTCCCGCCCAAGAGGTGGCAGGCAGGTGTATGGGCTGAGGGACTGAAACACAGACAAACTGGATGTGTCAGTTACCATCTGGCTGGGCAGGACATTTTAAAATCTGCCTTTGCATGCTACTTTCTATACAGCACCTAGGGGCTAATGCTGTGAAGAGCTTGGAGTCCTGCAGTCCTGGGTTCAAACCCCAGATCTCCGCTGTTTACTCAGTTCACTCATGTAAACATACTAGATACCTCAAGGGTTGTTACAAGGCTATAAGGCAATGTGAGAAAAGTCATTAGCAAAAGATCTGGTGTACAGAAACTGCCAGTACACGGTAATTATTTCATTTACAGCTTAGAACAACCCTGCAAGAGAAACAGGAGAGATCCATCCTGTTATTCCACTTTACAGCTATTGAAATCAAGGTTCAGAGAAATTAATGACTTGGTAAGCAACACACATTTGGGACCTTGAACCCAACTCAGAATCAAATCCAGGGTTCTTTACCTCACCCATTATGAGGGTCTTCCCGGCCAGGCCCTCCTTTTTGAATTTGACTGGGCCGAGGCTTGGCAGGGCATAGAGCCGGGCAGAGACTGGACACAGCTACGGTGCTGGGGAGACCCATACAAACCCTGGGCTACAGGCACTTCAGTTGGTCTGGCCTCATCGCCCCTAACCCTCCCGCTATGAAGAAGCACCAATCTGCCAGCCCTGAACACACTGTCTTGCCCCCTCCTGCCCAAGAAAAGCTGCTGCCCTGGCTCCTGGGGCAGAGTGTATGCGTGTGCACATGAATCCCCCCCACATCCCCGTCTGCTCAGGGGTTCTCTGCCATGACTTTGCCCTTGGGTCTGCTCTTTACCTCCAGAGAGGAAAACATCCAAATCTTAAGATCTGAGTCTACTCTTGTGACCTTAACAAATATTCTTAGCTGCTCTCTGCTTCAATTTCTTTCTCTACAGAAACTCTGTCCCCAACCCTCCCCACCAACACACACAAACACACACACAGGGCTGTTGCTAGAGTTAAATTTAATCTGAATCAGGGAAGAACCATCCTGGCATTAACATCTGGCCCTTGATGTGGGCATTGCCAGTCCAGTTACCAGAGCCTCATCGCTATGTTTGCTGCAGACAACTATAGGGAGGGTTGCTGGTCCTCTTTACAAAGTAGAAAAGGGATGGCTCAGTGCACTTCAGCGACTCGCACAAGGTCACACACCAGTGAGTGGAAAAGCCACACCTCGAGTCTCTTTTGGTTTTAATTTCATGTTGGCCTTGTGCCCACTGGTTTGGCTGTAGGGCTGCTGGGGGCCAGAAAGCTGTGCCCTATCCCTACCTCCTGCCTCCAGTCCTGACCGCCCCCGCCCCCCCCCTCCGCGCCCCCCGCTCCCGCCCCAGCCCCGATCTGGATTGAGGTTGTGTGGAATTTTATGCTTACACAATTTGGACCTCTTAAGGGAAAAGACAGACATAATTATAAATATAAAATTAGGTACAAAGCTGTGGAAGGAGCAAAGCCAGGGGCCCGAGGCTTAAGCTTCATTAGTTTCACAGTTCGGTCGCTTCTGCTCCCCATTCTTGTGGGTACAGTCCTGTCCTGAAGCCTTCCCAGCCCATAACAATCCCCACCTCTCTCTTAACTTGGGATCACTCCCCCTATAGAGCGCTGCCTTGTCCCCATACCCCCTCGTGAAACTCTCCTCATCCAGTGGTTTTGACATTGTCTCTTCCAACCCAGTGTCTGGCAGGAATTAAGGGACAGTGACTATTCCTTGGCTGAGGCTCCAGCTCACCCAGTCTACACTGCAAGCCTTGTTCCCTGGCAAGCGCTAGGTTGGAGTCGCATTCATTAATGCAACAGACATTCATTGAGCACCCCCTATTGGCCAAATCTGCTGTTGAGTGCTCTGGAAACAAAAATGACCGCGATCCAACCCTTGCCCTAAAAGAACTCATATTCCTTTGGAAGACAGAGAAAGAGACAGGTACAGGATAATTACAATTAAGTGGCAAGCGCCCTAACAGAGGCAAAGCAGCCACAGTGGGAAACAGAGGGTATGGGGGCCCCTCTGGGCAGAGAATATTCTAGGCAAAGGGCCGCAGGCAGAACAGCATGGTGTACAGAGCCTGGTGAGGGCTGCAGATAAGGGTGAGTAGGAGGAGGGCAGAGAGGAGGGGACAGAGGCCGTGGACCATGTTGGGGATCCAGACGGCCTTGGAGGAGCGGACAAATTCCTTACCGCGACCGTGGGCTTGTGGCTCCGCAGCGGGGGCATGGCACCGGCCGTGGAGGGCCGTGGGGGCGGCGCGGGTGCACTGGGGAGCGGGGTCGCAGGGCTCTGGGGCGGCTCGGGGCTGGGGCAGAGACTCAGCGCCCGGTGGCGGATGCGCTGCAGGAGGGCGCGAGGACGGGAGGCCATCCTGCTCTCCGAGAGCTTCCGCCTGGCACCCGCCAGCTCCGACCTCATGCCGCGCAGCACATCCAGTGAGCACCGGTGATGGCCTGGGCCGGGGCTCGCAGGAACGCTGGGCTGGGGGCTGCAAGTACGCGGCTTTTCCTCGCTGGCACGGGAAGTTTCTTCCTCTTTTTCTTCTTCCTCCTCCTCTGGGTGTTCCTCGGGTCCAGCCTCAGGGCCTTTGGCGGCAGCCGGCGCAGGCACCAGCCCGCATTCGGGGCTAACTAGCAAGTACCAGGCAGGAGGGGCTGAGGCTGTCCCGGGGGCATAGCGTTGGAACTGGCAGGGTCCCCGGACAACGGCCTCCACCCAGAAGAGAGTCCTCCTCTCCAGGCTGAAGTCATGCTGTTGAGAGAAGGCCACGTGAGGCTCGGCCGGGCAAACCAGGGCTCGAGGGCACACCCCCACCTCCTGGTCTCCGGGGACCCTGTTCAGCCAAAGACTTGCCAGACCTGCACAGGTTCCAATTCTGAGCCCCAGGCAGCCATCACAGCTTACCCCCGTTTTCGCTAACACTGGAGGAGATGGATGGATATCAACAACAATTTAACAGTAAACTGCATGAAGGACAAAGTGAAGAATAGGTTAATAAGATGAAATGTAGTGAAATCTAATATCTAAGTCTCTTTGCCATTTAGTATGTAATTGAACAGTAGCAGCTTAAAAGCTTTCTCCAATAAAATTGGTTCTTAGCAAATGAACTTTCACTTGAGTCCAGCGCCATTTGTCTGTAGACAGCCAGCCCTGGAGACCCGCCCAGGCAGGCGAACCTTCTTGTGCAGTAACACAGCGGTCTCCAGCCTTTTGGAGGTAGGGGGACAGGAGGCGGAGCTCAGGCGAGGGAGGCGGGGCAGGAGGCGGAGCTCAGGCGAGCTTCCCTCGAGGCCTGGTTCCTAACAGGTCCGGGACAGGTACAAGCCCACGGCCAGGGGCTTGGGGACCGCTGGAGTAATACCTGCCCCCATCCTCCTGGCTGCCACCTGAGGTTACTTTAGGACCCAGGAAATGTAAGATTCGTTAATCTTTGTTGAACCCTACTTAGTAGGTTTTAGTATTTTTCCTATTTCCAGAGTATGAAAATGAGGCTCAGAAAATTTAATTCGCTGGAGGTCAGATTGGAGGTAAGTGGCTAAACTGGGATTCCTCTGTCCATCTGACTGTAGGGCTTTATCCACTACATAGCAGGCCACCTAAAAAAACAATCTGGAGCCCACATAAATAATCTAGCTTGAGAGTTTATAAATGAGGCAAAAATAAAATATTCCTGTTGCCTATTTTAAAAATTAAGAACCAGGAATATAAAATACCATTAAAAATATTTTTTAAAAAATATTTAAAAGGCATTTTCAATGCTCTACGATGGCCCATTAAGGAAGAGAGGGGCTAGGCGAAGTGGTATGTGTGAGGGAAAGGGAGACAGAAAGACAAAACAGACACACTTCGATCACAGGCACTGCCACCGCCCACCTTTGACGCGACCCTAGGCTGGCGGGGAGGAGCATCATTTAGCCGGTCCAGTGTGGCTCCCTGACTGAGGTCAAGGACTGTGTCTTACTCCTCTCTGTCTCCTCAGGGCCCAGGGCAGTCCTGGCACAGAGTGGACATCTATCTCTGTGTGCAGAATACATGGCTGGAGAAAGGGACTGGAGCAAAACAGATGAGTTGTGGAAAACAGAAGAGGAAAAAGACAACTTCAAAACGGATGAGGCAGAATTGTAGAGAAAGAGACTAAGAGATAAAGAGACAGCCAGCGGGACTTAGGGGATAAAATGATACAAAAACCCAATAAAAATACCAATACAAGTTATAGAACTAAGTGCGGTGATTCTAAAGTTCATATGAAAAACAAATAAGAATAACCAGAAAAAACTCTAGAGACAAAAAGATAAAGAGAACTGGCCCTACCAGCTGTTTTATTATAGTATAAAACATCAATAATTAAAGCTATGGTACTGGCACAGATAGATTAAAGGTAGAGAATAGAAAGCCCAGAAATAGACCTTAATATCTATGGGGCTTTAGTAAATAATAAAGATAGCATTTCAAGCAATGGGAAAAAGAGGAACTAGTCAATAGATGGTATTAGTTATCTGGAAGAAAATAAAGCTGGATCCATTCTCACATTATATACACAAGGATAAATTCCAAAAGGATCAAAGATTCAAATGTGTAATATTAAACTATAAATACTAGGAGAAAACAGGACATAAATCCTTTATAACCTGAAGTGGGGAAGGCCTTTCTTACTCTGAATCAAAATCCAGAAACCATCAAAATGTACACAGGCACGTGTCCAAAATCTGCATGGCAAATGCATCTCTTGAGCACGGTCAAAGACAAATGACAAACCGGGGGAGGGGGGAGAGGAAACAGCACTCACACCACACACAAAAGCTAGCTTTACTAACACAGGGAGCACTCACAAGTAGATAAGAAAAAGACCAATGACCAAACAGAAAAAAATGGACAAAAAAATAATATGAACAGAAATAGAAAAGGAAATACAGATGGCTCTTAAACAAAGAAAAAACTGTTCGACTGCACTCATAATAAGAGAAGGCAAAATAAAACTACACTGAGATACCACTCGCTTACCCCTTGGCAAAGACCCAATGTCTGATGACACCCAGTTGGGGAGCGTGGGCGGTACAGGCCTCTTAGAGAGTGCTGGCTGGGAGGTCAATCAGCATAACCTCTATGTAGAGTGATTTGGCAATATACTTAAGCAAATTCAAAAGGATATTTGCTTATACTCATTTCCTGCAGCATTGTTTGTAATGGCAGAAGACTTGGAAGGATCTAAGTGTACATCAAGAGGGACTTTGTTGATAAAAATGTGATGTATCCATATACTGCAATATTTCAGTGGAAAAGCAAAACTGAAGAAGCTTTCTATGTACAGATACGGGAGATTTTTATGAGTGAAAAAAATCAAGAACAGTTTATATAAAATGCTATCTTTGGTATAAAAAAAGGAGGAAATAGCTGTATTTGCTTGTATATACATACATAAGAATCTCTAGAAGAATATATAAAGAATGAACAACAGAAACCATCAGTGAAGGGGTGGAGTGGGGGAGCAGGCAGATGGAAAGGTATTAGTGGTGGGGTAGGTAAGCTGTCCGGAGGCCGAAATGATGCCCCACCTCGTCTTGGTAAATACAGTGTTATTGAAACAAAGCCATGCCCACCCTCTCCTTTCCCTGATGACTATAAAAACTCTGGCAGTTACTTAAGCCCCCTCTTTCCCTACAATTTTTACTTCTAGCCCTTTATAGAAAATATTTGTTAACCCCTACTCTGTAACATTTTTGTACACACACACACACACACACACACACACACATGAGCGTGCACACACACACACTCTCTCTCTCACAGTCCAGCAGAAGTAAGGCCTGCTTGAGTGTGGTTGGTAGGGTAATAATATGGGTGCAATAATTTATAGTTTTAATTTGAACATTTACCTAAAATGTCATATGGTGTGCTTGAGTGTGATATTGTTACATCACAGAATTACATGCTTATGATTTTGTGATAAAAGATTTTGTAATAAAAAGGGCATTATTTGTGCTGGTGCGCATGTGCGCACGTGTGTGTGTGTGTGTGTGTGTGTGTGTGTGTGTGTGTGTGTCTCCTCCCCCCATCCCCATATATATGTATCTCAAAACAAACTTGAAGAGGCTCTAAGTATGCAAGGAAAGCCTCTCCTTGGGAAGGAGCAGGGTGAAGGGGTGGGCATGGCTTTGGGATCTGACAGACTCCTGTTGGAATCCTGGCTACATTACTCACAAGCCATGAGGCCCTGTGGATCACTCGGATGGGAGCTTTGATTCTCTGTGCCATGGAGTAAGAACACCCAGCTGATAAAAGGGTCATAAAAATGAGAGAGAAAACTGAACATGTAAAAAGTTCCTAGCAGGGGCCTGGTGACTAGCAGGTGCTCAACAAATGGTAGCTATTAGGATTTTTTTTCCTTTAGGCCGCTGTAGGCAGCCTATCTGGTAACCTAACTACCGTGTGTAACATCGTTGTTATGGGAAAATGCACAAGTTCTTAACACTGGGAATACAGCGCAGAAAACTCGAAGGAGTGATCAGGAGAAGCTGTAAATCATACTTGGAGTCTCATGCTTCCCTATTTGTTAGTTTGGCCCAACAGTAAAAGAGATGGAGGCTCAGGGAGGGAAAGAGGCTCAAGGAGTTGCAGGTGCCCACTGTGAACGCAGGAGGCAAAGCCAGGTCAGTACTTGGCTAGGACACTAGGCTTGTACTTGACAGAAGAGTGCCTATTTTCTGCTACTAGAAGATGAGCCTCTTCCCAACTTGGCTTGAGCTCAGCAGGGAAAGGAAAGCTGTGATAATCCTCCTCCCCTGTAGCTCCGTAAAGCAAGTTCCTCTTTGCTGGCTCTATTGCAGGAGAGTGCGCCCACAGCCCAGGCTGCCTGCGGAGAGACAGGGCTGCCGCCCCACAGAGAGTGCGCTGGGCTTTTACAAAGCTTAGTTCGGCTCTGGGAGCCTGACCTGAGGAGCCTCAGTGCAACTCCAGAGTCTGCAGATGAGGCAAAACTGCACCACTGTTGCCTGCTCCAATGCCCTCAGGCCACTCAAGCCCCTCTCCCCAACTCTCCCCAGGCCTCTCCTTCCTGAACTGTGCTCTCTGCTCTGACTTCCTGAAATCTTTTTTTTTTTTTTTTTTTTTTTTTTGCCTTCAAACAGCACCTGTCTGGTGTCTCTCGTTCTAACCCTGCTCTTAGCTAATACAAATGATCTGGAGCCAGACCCTAGGTTTTAATCTTACCACTAACTTTGGACAAATCTTTTGCTTTTCCTAGGCCTCAGGTTCCCCTTGTTCAAAATGAGTGAGAGCTGATCTAGATGCTCAAAAACTTTTCCGTGAAGCACCCTGCAGGCTGTGGAGAATGAGCGCACAAGAGCCTGAGGACTCAGTCCCAAGGGGCCCGATGCTGGCTCCACAGTTCTTTGTAATCTCATCTTTCATTTTTTTTAAAGAATTCATATGGATTTTGCATTCTATTCCATGACACATCTGTGTTACAATTTAAATGCAAAAGTTTCCCCCTAAATCTTTAAATAAACTTGATTCTCCCGGAAGTTAAATAATCATGTCTATCCTAAGGCTTTGTGTGGTGTGACCACATACGCTGGGAATATAGCCCAGTGTGTGAGCCATGGGGTGCCTTAAGGGTGCCTCTAGAACAGATGTGGGGAACAGTAATCTTTTCTAATGTGTCCCAAGTAACTCTGGTTTTTTAACAGAGAATTTTAGATCAAGTGCCTTAACCCAAAGGAGCCATTCTAATGGTGGAATTTTATTTTATTATTATTATTATTTTTTTATCCTCACCGGAGGACATTTTTTTCATTGCTTTTAGAGAGTGAGGAAGGGGGGTGCGGTGGGGGAGAGACAGACAGACAGAAATTGATGAGAGAGAAATATTGATTGGTTGTCTTCCCATATGTGCCCT